ATTATTATTATTATTATTATTATTATTATTATTATTATTATTATTATTATTATTATTATTAAATTTTATTTAGTTTTCAAAATTTAAAAACATAAAATAAAACTTTTATGCATCATTATATCAACATCAAGACATCTTTTACATTTCCTTATCATCTTTCTATATACACATTTCTTTCATTATACAATTCCAACTTAATATATAAATAAATATTGATATATATGAATATAGATATAAGTATTTATATAGTTTCTTATTGTCATTTTGAATTCTTTTTATTCTTAAACCATTCATACCAAGCATCCAAGACATTATAATATATCAACTCTTCCAACTTTTTTCCCCCAACTCTGTTGTTCTATAAACCCTGATCCATTAATTGGTGGGACAGCTTCCCTGCAGACGTTGTGGGTGCTCCAACATTGGAGGCTTTCAACAAACGATCAGACAACCACTTGTCTGGAAATGGTTTTTGGGTTTCCTGCTTGAGCAGGGTGGGGTTGGACTAGAAGACCTCCAAGGCCCCTTCCAATTCTGTCATTCTATTACTTAAGAAAAGAAGAACAAACTGAATAACTTTTTCAAAGCTCGAATTCTGTTAACTGTCCAGCTAATACATTCCTCTTCAGTAGAACAAGGATTGGCTTGGATAGCTTTCTTTTGTTTTTGAAGCAGCCATCTACCATTGTTCACTACTCCTCATGCACATAATTTTAGAAACACTTGAAAGGTAGTCCTGGACTTACAAACAGTTGTTTCGGGACTGTTCCAAGTTACAACGGCACTGAAAAAAACTGCCTTGCAACCAGTTTTTACGCTTACGACCATTCCAGCATCCCCATGCTTAAAATTTGGATGCTTGGCAATGGGCTCATATTTATGACGGTCGTAGTGTAACAGATAACAGATAATCAGAGTTGGAAGGGACCTTATAGGTCATCTAGTCCAACCCTCTGCCCAAGAAGGAGACCCTACACCATTTCTGACAGATGGGAATCCAATCTTTTCTTGAAAGCCTCCAGGGATAAAGCTCCCACAACTTTTTTTAGTATTTAATATTTATTTGATTTGTCAATCGCTTACAAGACACAGGTATAAGAATAAATATAGTTTTGAATACATGAGATAGATACTTATAAGAAAAATAAAAAACAATAGGACAGGGACGGTAGGCACGATTGGTGCGCTTATGCACGGCCCCTACAGGCCTCTTAGGAAGGGGGTGAGGTCAATAGTAGACAGTTTAAGGTTAAAGTTTTTGGGTTAGGGTTAGGTTAACTTCCGAGGGCAACTTCTGTTCCATGGGTTGATTCTTCTCACTGTCAGACAATTTTTCCTTATTTCTAGGTTGAATCTCTCCTTGTTCAGTTTCCTTCCACTATTCCTTGTCTTGCCTTCAGATGCTTTAGAAAATAGCTTGACCCCTTCCTCTCTGTGGCAGCCCCTTAAGTATTGGAAGACTGCCATCATGTCTCCCCTGGTCCTTCTCTTCACTAGACTAGCCAGGCCCAGTTCCTGCAACCGTTCGTTGTATGTTTTAGCCTCCAGTCCTGGTTGCTCTTCTCTGTACTCTTTCTAGAGTCTCAACATCTTTTTTATAATGTGGTGACCAAAACTGGATGCAGTACTCTAGGTGTGGTCTTACTAAGGCTTTATAGAGTGGTATTAGTACCTCCCTTGATCTTGATTGTATCCCTCTGTTAATACAATTTAGGATTGCATTGGCTTTTTTGGCTGCTGCTGCACACGGCTGGCTCTTGTTTAGCTGGTTGTCCACTAAGACTCCAAGATCCCTCTCACAGTTCCTGCTATTGAGCCTGGTTTCACCCAGTCTATGTCTTGTCCCAGGGATGTGTGTCATATGATTCCCTTGTTGTAACAAAGAGTGTGACAAAGAGCAAAGAGTGTGATGAAGCCATTCACTTAACACAACTAATGTATTACTCACTTCACAACTTCAGTGATTCACTTAGCAACAGTGGCAAAGATGATGGTACAAGGGGGTTAAAAATCACTTAGCAACTGAACATTCGGGCTCCATTCCATTCCTTGGAACACATGGTTGTAAGTCAAGGATTATCTGCATTTTTGGAAGATCACAGGGTGGTTCACTGGAATCCAAAATGCCTGTATTGGATTAGTAATATGTAGGTAATATGTCAATACACAGTTGTGTTTCTATCTTGTTAGTCTAACAAAGGGAGGCCTAAAATCTTAAGAAGGGAACCATTCTTCATCCCAGGAGCTTCCAAAGAATAGTAGTGGGGCTGTATACCTGGTGTAATTTAGGATCCTGCTTCCAAATCTCATCAGCCTGCACAGTTAGGCAATTATGGCTCTCTACAATTCCTTTGGGTGATGTCAGATGAGTTACGGTAGATTGGAAAGCTACGGACAGTTATTGATTTATTAGATTTATATCGTGCTGGGCTGTTTACACCACAGTCAAAATGGCTTAGAGCAATTAAAAATGTAAATTACAGAGCATCT